TCTTAGACCTCTACAAGCCAACCCATGACAGTCTTGATTCATATCTACTTCCAACATATGACCGACTGGTATAGATGGTCATGTTGAAGTTAGGGGCTTTGAGGAACAAGTGAAAGATTTGTTTAACAAAGAATATATTGATGATGGCAGTGTAGTTAATATGATTTGCACTTTTGAAGCTCGCTATTAGCCAACCAAAGGATAATGATGTGAAAGTGATGGATTCCAAGATGCAATGGATGCTATTCTTCAAGGTATTCTTCATTGTAATGATGACAAAGGTGTTGAGGATGTTGAACATGGCCTGAAAAAAACACTTGATGAGGTTGGAGATGCAATGGTTGCTATTCTTAAAGGTACTGATGAAAAAAAGTCAATATAAGAATGAGGGTAATTCTGAACCTGAATTCACTGAAGGAAATGTAAGTGATGTTCTCCCAGAGGTGGTGAAGTTGGATCTAGAAAGTGTATCATACCTACTTGGGCAGGATATAAGATTGCTATAGTAGAGAGCTTGAGAGCAGTACAACTTGAATTGGATGATATGCCACCAGTTGAGATGGTTAGTTTGGCTTCATCATTTTCTAAATTCTAGTCATTAGTATAAAACTGTTTATATCCTTTAACTAAAAATATTTTTAAATTTTTGATTAACATGATGTAAATGAAGTTGAGTATATTTCATACGTTGATGGTGTGATGGAAGTAAATGAGGGTGGTGGTCTTATAAATGATGGTGTGGAGGAAAATGAGGGTGATGGTGTGGGTGAATATGCTGGTCAAGTAGCAGGTGAGGGTGAGGGTGATGGTGATTGTAACACCATGGTTTCCAGGTATTTACACTTTTAACCTTTTTGTGGTAATTATTGGCACTTTGGTCCAAACGCCAGGCATTTGGCATAGAACGCTAGGTATTCAAACGCCAGACGTTCTATGATGGACGCTAGGCGTTTGTACACAGAGACCAAACTCTAAATTTTAGGGTTTGCACCCTATTTAAAGAACATTATGGCCTCAAAACCCTTCACCACTCCGGCCTCCATCCTCATTTTGAAAACACTAAGTGTGTATGAGAGTTTGAAGCCTTGTGCATCTTTTTGGTATCATTTTAGCGTTCTTGATAGAGAAGGAAGATCATTGGAGTGTTGGTGTTGCCCTCAAGCGTGTGGATCTGGACTCTTGACGTCTTTGAGCATCATTTTGTGGTATAAAGTTATGAACTTGATCATCATATCTCTAGACCTTGCTTATGTTAGAAGATTATGCTTATTAGCCCCATTTTCTTGGTATTTTTTGGTGGGAGCTACCTTAGACCAAATGAGTTATCCTTTTGAACGTTTTAGGGTATATTAAGTGATAAACGTGTGATCTTGGATCTTCCTTTCACACAATTCAAGTTTTGAGGTGTCTTAATGGGTTAAGGAGTTGGAGTTTTAGCTTTTGGGCTCATTGTAACCATGCATGGCCATAAAGTTTGCAACTTTATGGCTTTAGACATTCCATTATGATTGGATATGAAGTTTAGATATGAGATCTTAAGCCATTAAGACATTGGTTTGGAAGTTGGTAATCAGCGAACAAACGCCAGATGTCTGTATGGGAACGCCTGGCGTTTGGACGCCATGCGTCATTGGGTGGAACGCCAGACGTTCTTAGCAGAAGCCCAATGGATCGATTTTGGGCATTAGGCCATTAGGGGTTTTGGGCTTAGTTTAGTTGGGCTTGCATATAAAGGGCAAAATGGTCTTTTCCCTTCATCATGATGAGGAATGGACTACACCATGGGTTTGGGTTAAACCCTAATTATTGATTGGGTTTGTTTCTAGTTTTGGTTTAGTGTGAGGAGCAGTGTTCGTCGCGGATCGAGTGTTGTTTCAGTTATCATTGAGTTTTCCTCATTGCAGTTATGGGTCGAAGGTACGAAGGTCGGCCCATTGGATTGATATCCCAATTTAACGTATGTTGCTATGTTGTAGTGATTTGTTAGATCTGTATCCTGTTATATAGGATGTTGCTCTGTTGTAGTGATCTATTAGATCTGTATCCTGATATATAGGATGTTGTTATGCTGTAGTGATCTGTTAGATCTACTTGTTGTCTGCTGACTGGTTATATGTTTATCTGTTATGTATATGTCGATATGTTATGTGTGGTTGGGTTACCCATGGTGGCTCGAATAGACTGAAGGCCTGTGAGGCGGACCAGTCAGTCCGAAGGCCTGGAGAACGGTCCATATAGGCTGAAGGCCCGGTGAGGCGGTCAAGTCATGCTGAAGGTTCTGTGAGCGGTCCAGATAGTCTGTAGGCCGGCACGACGGTCCAGTTAGGCTGAAGGCTCTGTATGCATCTTGTTTCTTATTATGTTTATGTGGTGGTACTTTGAGGGAACTCACCAAGCATTGGCTTACAATTTTGGGTTATGGTTTCAGGTACTTCAGATGATCGCGGGAAGGCGAAGATGTGACTTTACACATCCTCTTGTTTATGGCTTATGATTTGGGAGACTCTGGTATTTGGAAAATATTTTGAAAACCATGATTTGTAAACAATTTATTATTTTGGGTTGATTTTAAAAGTTTAAATTTATTGTGATTTTTGAGGCATCACAGTGATGGTGATTGTGTTAGTGAGGATGATGGAGAGGGTGATAGTGATGTTGAGGATGAAGATGAGGGTAATGGTGAGGATGATAGAGCAGATATGGAGGGAAATGATGCTGATGATGAAGGGCATGTACCATTCAGAAGGCCAAGAAAGCCCTTAGAAATGATCATCCTGCAAAAGCTGAAGAAACCTTGTTTTGACAAAGATGGAATGGGTTCCACATCTAGCTATCCAACAGATTTGGAGTAGTTAGCTAGGTATATGGGGGTGAAAGTGGGGATGGTATAATTGGGCAACTGTATAAGTATCCCTTTTTGGTACATGTTTTGGTATACACCACTACTTGCAACATACATCCATTTGTTTAGTGTTACATTATGGCTTGCCTTTTTTTGGATATTTTTCAGGCTTTTAAGTACATGTTTTGGTATTCAAAATGGATGGCTGCTACATGCTAGTAAACCTTATGTAATGTATGATTTTTATTATGGTTTATAATGGATGCCCCTAATTATGGTAACCATGATGTTTTTACTTTATTTTCTTATGGATGTTAAGCATTAACAATGTACTTTCATTAGTGCAATTCCTTTTATGAAAGTTATCATTACATTTCATTCCTGCAAAGTCTACTTTCATTGTGAATGTAACCAAGTGTAGTTTACCTTTAATACCATACCATTAACAAGTAAATCAATAAAACAAGTGCAACATATACATGAAATAGCAATTAACTACCATTAATACCATTGCCATTAATACATTACAAAGATGTAACATTCAACCGTTCAAAAAAACATTACAAAGATGTAAGAATTTAATTACCCTTCATATATTGCTAGTATAGGAAAAACCAACAAACCTACATCTTAATAACCACTATTGCTAGCATCAACAATATAACCACTAACAACCATATTATCACATCTAACAATGGCTTAATCTGCTATGTATGAGACATCTCCAGTTCTTGACCTAATTCTTCATCCACCAATTTGAAAAAACCACAGTTGCCTCCTTCCACCTACAAAAAAAAAAAAAAAAAATTAGGGTTCTATTACATACATTCATCTTTGGAAAATTAGAGCATCCTGAAAATTTTAGGGAGAAATTAATACAAAAATAAAGAGGTTTTTACTAATAATTAGGGTAACCCTAAAATTTTCATCCTGGGACTGATACACCACAAACATCACCACATTCACATCTTCTTACCTTCTTGTTCCTCCTTCTTGTACAACCATTAAAGCTTGATCTTGAAGACGAAGTTTTCGTTTTCCCGTTAGAGACTGATACAATTTCGTGCAGCTCTGCGCCTAACTGTGGGGGTCGAAGGGATCAAATGGAGATGGAGATGTCTTTGAATCGGTCTTTAAAGGATAAATGTCACGTATCTTCCAGCTAAGCAAGTGGTTACCGGTTGATTAATGGGAAACCGGTTAAAAGACAAAAACGACCCATTTAATACAAGTTTGAGGCAAAAACGAACATAAATTTGTACTTTGGGTAAATCCGACAATTTCGTGCAAACTTGAAAGTTTTTATATCATTAGCCCTTTATCAAATCAAAATAATAAATAAAATAAAGGTATATTAATATTTTAAATTGATCAAGACAAACGACACAACACAAATTTAAAAAAAAAATGAATTAAAAAAAATTAAGCTCCAAACAACCAACTAACCCAAATCAAAAGGATTATACTTTCTAATTTAACCTTTATAATCTAATATAAAAAAAGTGGCCTATTGTGGAGAGCTTAATCGGGTTATTAGATTAGCCATGTGCTAAAACTCCCTTACGCACATGGTTGAAATTGAAACGGAATTGATGTCGTCGGCGGGTACGGACGACGACAGTTTCTTCCCGTTCGACCGTTTGTTACAGCAGAAGCCCCACCTCTCTCATCAAACCACCGCAGCCGTCGTTATCTTACGCTCATGAAACTACTTTGCCCCCTTCATTTAACCCTAACTTACTTTTCCAAATCTGATTCGCTTTACTCACCCAATCAACTTTTTCCCATGATTTTAAGTGATCGATTCCATACGCATGTTTGGTGTCGCTTCAAAACCCCGTTTCTCGCCCCTAAATTTCGATTTATTTACCCTAGGGTTTCGATCCGGTTCGCCGAGGTTTTTGTCTCTTCGGGGTGATTCCGGAGGTGAGGAAATGGAATTTGTTCGGAAATTGGGGGGAAGGTGTTGTTTTGTTCAGTCGAGGAAGAAGAACCATAAAGTGGAAGTGATCGAGTCCGATAATAATGTTGCTAGCGGTGAAGATGTTTTTGACGCGGTGTCTGCCGGAGCCATGGTTCCACCTGATCACCTTGTAATCATGGTTAATGGGATCATTGGCAGGTAACTTCATCGCTATTTCTTTTACTTTTTGCTTCTATCATCTGAAAAAGCCATTATCAGGTTTGGTACTAGAACCCTAATTGTTCAGTTTCTGAAATTCGTGATTTAAAGATGAACCACCATTCTCAAATCCCAAACCCCTAATCAAACTTCATTTGAACATCAAGGTGGGTTTATTTGTTCTACTTGTCAGCATAAGTAAACCCTCATATTATTCATTTGCTCGATCTCTCTTTGCTTCATATCTTAATGTTAGATTCCTTTTGAGACATAATCTAGTGGGGATACAAATGTGATTGAAGAAGAGGGGAACAAATAGGAGGATATGCTTGTTTTTACAGCATGCTACCATTTATTTCAGATATTTTTAAGCATCATTATTCATAAAGAACTTGATGTTGAAATGTGGAGGATATTTACTTAGTTGTGCGATGTGTTCAGTGCTGCAGATTGGAGATATGCTGCTAAGCAGTTTCTCGATAGGCTTCCTGATAAAGTTATTGTTCACTGTGAGTGTCTTTTTCATCCATCTTCATCTTTCACAATTCTTGTTTAATTGCTTTTGTATTATAAAACTGTTCTTTATTCCATTTTTTTTACTCTTTCCAGCTTTTGTAAAAACTTCCATCCTTTACTTTCTTTCCATTATGTTGCTAGTATTTTGTAATCATCATTTACATTCATTGTGGAAAAAAAGTTCATAAATATATCTTTTAGCCCATCTTTCTAATTAACTGTTCACATTACAACTTTCACTTTCAATTCAATTTAAAAAAAGTTGTAACCTTTATAATATTTTGTAATCATTCATAAATCTTTACCAAGCAGGCAGTGAATGCAATTGTTCAACCTTGACTTTTGATGGTGTTGACCGAATGGGTGAAAGGTTAGCTGAAGAGGTATTTTTCTCTCTCTTGATTTTCTTTTACATTTTCACTTTTCATATTATCAGAGCAAAGTCTATCAAAAAGTTGAAATTAATTTTATATAAATAATCTAGTTAGTTTCTTTTTATACTACAGGTAATAGAAGTTGCCAAAAGGTGGCCTGAAGTGTCCAAAATCTCATTTGTATCACATTCATTAGGTGGTTTAGTCGCCCGATATGCAATTGGAATTCTTTATGAAAAAAATTCACAACAAAAACAGTTTTCAGAATCTAAAATTGCCACTTTGCAACCAATCAACTTCATTACAGTTGCAACTCCACATCTTGGTTCTAGAGGACATAAACAGGTAATTTAGCCGTTTATCAGTTTATGTTATATTTTTGAGTAAATTACACAAATGGTCCCTATGGTTTGGGGTAATTTGCGCGCTTGGTCCCTAACTTATTTTTTTTAACTCGGAAAGTCCCTACTGTTTGTTTTTGTTACGCGTTTGGTCCCTGTCTTACCTAAAAAGACTATTATTTACATTTGGAAAAATGGTGGGTAAGGTAAGGTGAGGGGGTGGGGTGGGGTTGGGGACTTGGGGGTGTGTTTATTTAAATAAATTTAAAAATCAAGGGTAAAATAGTATTTTTAGGTAAGACATGGACCAAGCGCGTAATAAAAACAAATAGTAGGGACCTTCCGAGTTAAAAAAATAAGTTAGGGACCAAACGCGCAAATTACCCTAAACCGTAGGGACCATTCATGTAATTTACTCTATATTTTTCATTACTTTTTTTTTAAATATATTTCATCATGTGAACAGCTTCCTTTACTTTGTGGTCTTCCGTTTCTTGAAAAACGGGCCCCACAAACAGCTCATTGGTTAGTTGGGAGATCAGGTAAGCATCTTTTTCTTACGGACAATGATGTTGAGGGACAGCCACTTCTCCTTCGAATGGTTTATGACTCTGAAGACATGAAGTTCATGTTAGTACTGTGTTTGGTTTAATTGTAATTTTGCGTCCTAAGGAGGGCATTTTTGTCGTTTTTGCACATACAAACTAACAAAAGACTGAGTGCCAGTCTCTTGTTTCACTTTCTTGGGTAGGACATATATTGCGGCCTTTGTCCTACCCAAGATCTTTTGTCTGTGCAAAAGACTTGAATGCCCTATTTTCTTCTTGTCATATCCTAAGGAGGGCATTTTTGTCTTTTTGCACATACAAGAGACTGAATGCGAGTCTCTTGTTCCATTTTCTTGGGTAGGACAAATATTGCATCGTTTGTCTTACCCAAGAAGGTGGGACAGTCATAGAGACTTGCCTTCTGATCTTTTGTCTGTGAAAAAGACTTGAATGCCCTCATCAAATTTTCTTCTTGTCACATCCTGAGGAGGGCATTTTTGTCTTTTTGCACATACGAGAGACTGAGTGCGAGTCTCTTGTCCCACTTTCTTGGGTAGGACAAATATTGCGGCTTTTGTCTTACCCAAGAAGGTGGAACTGGGACCCGCTCTTGATCTCTTATATGTGCAAAAGACGTAAATGCCCTTCTCAAAAATCTTGTTTGTCTCCATTTTCTTTTGAAACTTTTATTTAATATTTTTTTTTTGTTCATGTAATGTGGTAGGTCTGCGTTAAGATCTTTCAAGAGACGTGTGGCTTATGCTAATGCCAACTATGATCGTATCCTTTTTTTTAACTTTCTTTTTTTTTAAAAAAAAAATTAATATAAATTAATATTTCCTAAAAGAAAAACTTTGCCTTTTAATTGTTTTCTTTTCTATGTTTTCCTTTTGTTGATTAATAAGACGTGGTTGGGTGGAACACATCATCAATTCGTCGACAACATGAACTTCCAAAGGTAATTTAATTTAATTTAATTTAATTTTTTTTACTTTGATTTATCGTGTGTGCAAATGACGAAAACGCCCCTCTCATCTTTTGTAGCCAAACCTTCTTGTAAAGGATAAGAAGTATCCACACATTGTTTATGTTCAGCCTGAATCTGATGACATCATCAAGAATGAAGGGACATCTTCTGTAGGTGTACCTCAAACTTTAGAAGGTCTATTTTACCCTTTTAAATTGTAATTGTCCATTTTACCCTTTTGACCTTAACACATTTTTTTGCAACTTATATTCATTTATCTTGTTTATACAGAGGAGATGCTTCGAGGTCTTACTCAAGTACCTTGGGAACGTGTTGATGTTAGCTTCCATAAAAGCACACAACGATATATTGCACATAGTACTATTCAGGTAAGTTGTAATTCTAAAGCTACATTTTTGTAAAAAGACGTAAACGCCCTTTGTATGTGACATGGTGGTGGTTAAATCAGGTGAAAAGCTACTGGTTAAATTCAGATGGAGCAGATGTGGTTCTTCATATGATTGATAATTTTGTTCTTTAGCATACGGTTTATCCCTTTTAGTACTATTTTAAAAAGGGCATTTATGTCTTTTTGTGTAGAGTTGTTTAATGATCGATTTTGTAATTACTCATATAACTAGACTAAGGGGCTGTTTGGTAGAAACTAAATGGTCTAATTAAAAAGTATTAAACACACCTCCTAAGATCCTTGACTTTTATTTGTAAGTGTTGTTAAATTGTAAATCATGAATTACAAAGATCTCACGTTTGAAATAAAGTTTAATACTAAAATCAAATAAAAGTGAAATACGAAATCGATATAAAACAAGGCTAAATGCAAGAAATAGCAATATATATTATAACGTTATACTTCATTTTGTCGTATTAAAATAATGTCATGCAACTAGTAAAAAAACTTGTAGTTGATTAGTTTTTTCAAAACACAACGATTAAAATGTATTGAGAAAAGTTCTTTTGAGAAACATGTGAGTACCCTAAAACTCCTAATCGACCAATATTTTTTAAAACAAACACCAACATGAGACTCCAGTTGTTGTGTGTAAGCCTTTCGTAGCCTAAAAAACGATTTTTTTTTTCTTTTTGAAATGTGAATATAGGCACATTTATAGTTTTCGTGTTTTGTGTGTGTGTGTTTTATTTTTTCTTGACATTTTCAAGTTGTAATTCTATTAGATGCTGTGTGTGTGTTTTTTTTTCTTGACATTTTTAAGTTGTAATTCTATTAGACGCTGACTTTAGGGTCTTGTGGTGGTGTTTGTTTTGAAATTTTTTGAAAACAAATGCAAAATATGTTTACAAGCATATTTTGAACAAAAAAGAGATCTTTTTTTTACGGATTTTTTTGGTGATTTTCGACTTAAGATTGGTGTAAACGTAAACGAGGTGTCAATGTGCATATAGAGGTGTTTTGAGATTTATTTATTTTTGGAAATTGATTGTTAAGTTCTCGCATATCTTTTTGTTTCAAAATAGTTGGCCTCTAAATGTATTATTTTAAACGTCGGTTTTTCTTTCTTCTCACTTTTACTATTCGCATCCGACTACCCATGAAAATCCATATTCAAATCCACATAATTTTTAATTTTAAAATTAATAAATAATAATTAAAATAATACAAAACTAATTAACAAAATATTAAAAACATATAAAATGAATTCGCATACTAATTCACAAATATTAAAAAAAAAATTGCAAGACTATTTTAATACAAGTTATTATGGATGAATTACGGCTAACCAAAGCTTGAACTAGAAATAGTGGAATGATTAATTTACCAGATGAAAGCACCTTTTTAGTTCAAAAAATGCTTCAACTCTATCCATCCTAAAAGAATTAAGAAAATAGTAAATTATGGCTCTTGAATACACTAACCATATTAATACATACATCATAGCTCTCGATTTGTATCGACCATGATACTATTCTGACCACCCTAAATTTATGCCATAAGTCGTTGAGATTTGAATTTTTTAAAGAATTTTAGAAAATATGTCTAAGTTTATATTGTTGATTTCTAATTCAAATAAAACAATTGTTAAAATATAACCTATTGATTTATACTACATATTTCGTTTAAATAAAACAAATACAACGAATCGATGCTATTACTTTTATCTATAACGAAAAAGAGCATGGAAGCTCGATAAGAAGTGATAAAGCTTAAAAGAATTGTGTGGTGCTCAATTAACCCATAAAAACTTTTATCTCATATACCCACTACCACTAGTACCAAACAAAACATACCCACAAACAAAGAAACATGAAACAATCCTTCCAAGCCACTTCACTACTCATCCTTTTCCTTCTCCAACTTCCAAATCATGTAACACTTAGCCGAAAGCTAACCACACCCACACCCACACCCACCCCATGGCCCGAACAATTCCACGCACTTTTGTATATGAACCTAACCTCAACCCACCTCCAACTGAGCGACCTTTGGTATGACTGGCCCAAAGGTCGCAACGTTAACATTTTCCATAAACAACTTGATGTAGTGCTATATGACATTGAGTGGAGCAATGGCACGTCTTTTTACTACACATTTGGTGAGGACGCGCAATGTTCGGTGGTGGATTTTGGTGTTGGGATACCCCGTCCTGACTTTCTTGATGGGGCGCGTTATTTGGGGAGGGTAGTGACAGATGGATTCTTGTGTGACTTGTGGGAGAAGGTCGACTTTATTTGGTATTATGAAGATGTGGTCACTAAGATACCGGTTCGTTGGGACTTTGTTGGTGGTAATAATTAGATTTAAGGGTTTTAATGGTTATTAATTTTTTTTTTTACAAGAATTGTTAAGTAGAAATGAATTAATTTATGAAAGATTTTGAAATGTAGGGATTTCTTCGCACGTGATGACTTGGGAGGTTGGAGCAGTTTTGCCTGATTCAGTTGTACAAGCGCCCGAATATTGTTTTACGAAGTCTGTGAATAGGAAAACTTTCTTCGCTTAGGAGGCACGAGCATGAGTTATATCTTCTTTTCTGGTTGTCTTAAAATTATTTTTATTGAGTTTTGGTTATTTAGTATTATTTTATCTTATTTATGCTATTAGTGTTCACAAATTTCAAGCTACGTATTTACTCATAGTTATAGACAAATAAATATAATGATGCTAATTAAATTATTGACAATCGTATATGTATTACATGTTTCCTTTTTGCAAAATTACCATTACATTTGTTTCAAATGGAAGAGAGAGGTGGGTGATTGTGAACGTCATGGTGGGTTGATGTGCAGTAAAACACCGTTTTACTAAAGTAAAACTGTTGGACAAGAGAGACCAAAATTTTATGTGTGGGAGTGATGAAAACAATAACAAAAAGTATCATATGGAAATATGCAATTTATCCAAACCATAGGGAATTAGGGATGATTTATTTACTCTAATTGATAACTTGATCAAATGAAGAAAATGATATTGTAATTAAAACTAGAGACTTCAAGTAAAACTCTTTTTAATTATGTGAAGAAAGAATAAATAGGTGATATTATTATTGATTTTAGCAATCTCATAATCTCCATTATGTGAAGAAAGAATAAATAGGTGATATTATTATTGATTTTAGCAATCTCATAATCTAAATTAGTTTTAGACGTGTATTTTAAAATTATTACCGATGTTTTTTCTGTGTGGTTATATAAGGAATTATGTATGACATAAACAAACCATGGCGTTTCTATGGATTGTTGAAGTATTAAATTTATAATATTATAACTGTTTTCTATCAACAAAACAATATTGAAATAAATTATTTATTGATATATGTTTTTTTATCATAAGTTTCAACTATAATCGAATGACCAGAGGTTTCGGGCACATATGCCTGTACCGACCCATGGGCCAGACAAGTTGCGGGCTTCAAACAGTAAACAAGTGGGTCAGGCCAGGCTTTCGGGCCTTTACATACCAAAAAGCTGAAGATATGCCTCGACTTTTGCAATGCTTATAAATGTTACAAAGTCCAAAGAAAACATTTTTCTAGATAATGATATTAACTTTTTCGGTTAATTCTCAATGACGTATTTGTCCTTTGTAACAAGGGTAAATTTTTATTATTATTTTTATTTATTTATATTTTTTATGAGTTAATTTTCTTTTTTATATTTTGTTCGAATATATTGTTTAATGTTTTTTACATTTTGTTCATTTGCATTTCTTTTTACGTTTTGTTCGGAAAAATTTTTCTAATTCTTTTGACGTTTTGTTTGAATACATTTTAAAGCGTTTTTGGATCGTTTGTTTGTTTATATTTGTTGAAGATCTCATGGTCACGGTAGTCATAATTCATAACATAATTCACTTACAATCATATTTTTTATTTTTTTAATATAGATAAGGTAATATAGTTATTATTTTTTTAGTGCAAATAATTAACTATATAACACATATAAGGTGTTATATATAATTAATATAGATTAGGTATACTAAATTTATTTAATATGATCAATATATAGGCTAATCAGAATCCGAAACAAATGTCAAGTTATACATATGTTAATCAGAATCTGTATAACTCGAACAAAATGTCTAAAAATAATAAATAAAAAATAAAAAATTTATTTGAAAGCAATATAGTTAAGTATGCATCTTTTCTTTCTCTCCGTTCACCGACCACCTTTTTTCAAGTACTATTTTTTATTTTATTTTTTGTTATTAGACATTTGGTCGTTTTTTATTATACGGATTCTAAGTAGCCTGTGTATAACTTGACATCCATTTTGAATTCCGATTAACGTGCATATTAATCATAGTAAAATAAATACTTTTATACCTAATATATTAATCATATCTACGTTTAACAAACCTTATTACACCTTTTTGTTTTTACAAAAAATGTTTATAAAAAACTTTATAAAAATAATAATTATATAATCTTATATGTGTTACATAGTTAAATATTTGAATTAAAAATAATAATTATATAGCATTATCTATATTAAAAGACCAAAAAGATAAAGGAAAACAATAAGTGAATTCTATTACAAATCATGATTTGTAACACACGATTTCCGGGTATGGATTTTAATTGCTTAAGTATTTGGTTAATTGAGAAATTGAGATTTGGTGTTGGGGCGTGACGTGTTGCTTTTGGGGTGTGACATGCTTGCTACATGGCAAGTGCTACTAGAGCTATTTACTATTTTGATAAAACCGAATTGTCTAATTGAAAATTTTGGATTTGACTATTTGGTTCAGATATTCAGATTTTTGGATGAGTTTTTAGCAAAACCGAATTATTATTTTGAATTTTGGATTTGTTACGATTTATAAAATTAACACCGAATAGTCCAAAAACAAATTAAATAAGAGTTTATTAATTAGTTATTTATATATATTTGTTTTGAATATATATATTTTAATTATTTATTAATTTAATACATTGTATTTTCAAATAGATTAAAATGTATTGTCCAATAAAATAACTTAACGTGTACTTCTCAAAAGTTTTTTATTTATAAAATATTAAATTATAATATACACTTTGAATAGTTGTTCATAAATTTTAATTCTTAACCAAACAATTTATTTTTTGTTAGAGTTGACTAGTATTTATGTTATATATTTTCTTAAATGTCCTGCCTCTTGAAAATCAATTTGTAGAAACCGATCCAACCAAATTGTACTTTGGTTGGTTCAGATCATATTTGAATTTAGTTTGGACTATTCAGATTTATGTTTTGAAAATCGAAATTAATTTGGGTTCACTTGATTGGATCGGATCAAACCGATCCATCCAAATCAACACTCCGATGCACGACACACTCTTGCTGATGAGCCGAACCCTAACCCCTAGGGTTTTGTTATTTCTCAACCAATATCACCTTAAGACTTCCTTGAGTGAAACCGATATTCCCCTGGTGTGTTTTTGTGTGTACAAGCTATATTTGTGTGATTTTGAAGAAGAATATTGTCATTTTGTGTCATGTGAAGCAAACTACAGGAGTTATCTACCTTCTTATGACCCCATCTAGCTCTGTAAGTCTCCAAAGATCCAACCTTTAAGGCTTTTGCATGGTAGATCTAGGTTTTTGTTGTTGTTATGGTAGTGTTAGTCCTTTAATGTTGATGCTCTTGGTGTTTGAAGAACTCCAGAACCTTGCTTTGGTTATATTATGCCTTTTAGATATTTCTAGTTGGATAAAAAAGACCATGCATTTGCTATCCTTTAACCATGCATAAGAATGAGGTCTTTAGAATGGATTTTAGGATCCATGATTTACTTTTGTGGTTGATTAAGCCATGGTTATGGATAAAACTGGAAACTTTATCCATTAAGACCATTAGTAGGTTTAGATATGAAGTTTTAAGCTTATATCTTAAAGGATTAAGTGTTTAATGGAAATAGGCCGTTAAGCCAACGTCCTAAAAATACCGAGTAAAATTTTCATTTTTAAATAAGTCAAAACCATTCATTCATTATCTCAAAGACAATCAGAATAAAAGTATTCTCAAAACATTAGAGTAAGTCATAAACATCTAGTGCAAAATAAATCTCTAAAGGTTGCAGTGCGATCAAGTCGGATCCTTCCTTTTGGAACCAAAAGTACCTGAAAACATTTTAAACATAAACTGTAAGCACAAAGCTTAGTGAGTTCCCCAAAATAACACATATCATACATACATCGGGCCCCACCCAACATTCATCGGGCCTTACCTGTCATCCGTCAGGCCTCGCCCGGTACTTATCAGGCCCTGACTAGTTAAGAGGCCTATCCACAACATGTAGTGGGTCCCACCCAACACATATAGTGGGCCCCACCCAAAAATACATACAAACACATGTAAGAGTCAGAAAGACAACTCGCATCCTATAAACATAATCCAATGGGCCGACATTGGTGCCTTCGACTCGCAAGTATTGTGAGAAGAGTCACCTCAATCCGAAGATAACCAAATCTCACACTCGTTGTTGTTACAAAAGGTCCTCACACTGAACATATCCAAGACAACCCTAATTAACAATTAAGGTGATAATCCATAATCAAAGGTCTATTTCATACTCTTTCTCTCTCTCTCTATCTCTCTGTCTGTATGTCTGTCTGTCTGTCTCTCTCTGTCTCTCTCTCTGTCTCTCTCTCTCTCTCTCTAAGGTAAAAACCATTTTACCTTTCCAAGGCTAGACCCCACCCAACTTGATCTAGTGCTAAAAAAAATGACCAATAATACCTTCTAATCGTACGTCATGCGTAGAGCTTTCCTACAGAAAACGAGGCAAGGCCACGCTACGCGCTGCATAATCCACGGTCACGCCATGTGTAACCAAGCAATTGCCAAAAATCCATTTTTAAGTCCTTAATACATTAAGACATTTCACTAAAAGCTCAGGTCAGGTTCCTAATAACTCCATAATGGATAAAGTTTCCAACATTATCTATTATGATGGTCCAAACAACCAAGATCTAGTCTTTAAGTCCCAAAGGGACAAAAAATGCATCTTTCTTATCTTAATCCATTAAGTCCATGTCTCCAACATTCAGATTTGAATCAATATGATGTTTAGATGGATAAAGTTTGCAATTTTATCCATAACAAGGTCACAAACTTTCAAGATCTAAAATTTATACACTAAAATGACTAAAAAGTGGAAAATATGACAAATGACTAGATCTATGAAACCAATGAGCAAGTTGGAATCTTTTTACTCACAAATGGTCCATGAATGATGTAATCTTGCTGGATCTATACTTGAAATCTTCTTCTATACACTTTGCTACCACCTTGCGCTTCTAGATTCAACCTTCCAATGGAGAAATAAGCTCATAAATGATGCCAAGGCTCAAAAACAAGTGAGAAGAGGCTAGGGTTTCTCAAGGAATGATCTTAGGTGATGGATACTGGTAATGAGAGGGTTTCCCATAAGTTAATGCCCTTAAATAGAGCTCAAAACTGAAGATTTAGGGTTTTGATCTGCCCAGATTATGCCATGCATAATTCATTAAACCCTCGTTACGCCTTGCGTAACTTTAAATTACGCCACACGTAATCAAAATCCCCCATTTTCCACTTCAGCTTCAAACAACCATAACTTCTTCATTTTAATTTCGTTTTTGGCGTTCTTCATACGTACAAAAAGGTATTGAAGAGCCCCACAAT